GTCGTTCCTTCACTTTCTACTGTGTGGTTTGGTCAACTTCGCTCATATTGAAGCATCCCCTCAAGCAGCAGCTAGTTTGATACAGCAAACAGGGAAATCATACTAGAACAGCTTGCCGAGCTGGGAATACAAGGAAAATTACTGAAATAGATAAAGGGCTATTTGTATAATAGAACAACATATGTTTTGTTTAATGGTGTTATAAGCACAGAGAGCAAACACTTTGAACTGGGAACTCCACAAGGAGGGGTCCTCAGCACCTTGTTATTCAACGTTCTAATACATAAACTTATTAAAGATCTTCCAACTAATAATAAAGACACGGTCATTTGTTATGCTGATGATATATGTTTATAGGCTGCCTCCGAGCCTAGAATGCAAGTTCTGCTCGATGCTTTTGCTACTAGAGCTGAGGAATGTGGACTCTATATCTCTGTACAGAAAATTTGGGCCCTCATTCCCTGTGATATTCCACCACACCAACCAAAAATGATCCTATAGATGGGCGAGCACTTGAGAACTGCGAGTCTGACAGATACTTTGGTGTCCCCATTAACGACCCAAGGTACCTTACTTCTCTCAAGAGGAGACTCTGGGAGAGATTAAAGCCCTTGTGGGTCCTTGTTGGTGTCAATCATGGAATTAACGTGAGACTTGCTAGAATGTTTTATGTATCATTTATACGCTCTGTGATTGACTACAATGCTCTACATCTCACACTGTATACAGACAAAGAGCTGAAATCTCTTGAAACCTTGCAAAATGAAGCTATGCGTCTCATCCTTGGGGCTCCAAAGTCCACGAGAATAGTTAATATGAGAGCAGAGTTAAAATTACCTACCATAAGTGAGAGAATTTTGTCCATTAGCACAGTTTTCGGCGTGAAGGCGTTGAGTAGATCTCGGCAACACATGAAATTTCAAGCTAAACTTTCTAATATGCTACACTCACCTGAGGTCTATAGAAGAAGAGCGAAATCTGATTATGCATTTTGGTTCTACAAGGTAGCCAACTCCATCAAAATATTAAATATGTACCCAACTCAAGTTCAATGATTAATCAACCAATTACTCCATGGGATAACTGGGATCTATCAGTTGATTTTGTAAATTGCCCAAGAAAGATAGTGTACACTCTACATTATTAAAACAGTTAACACTCTGCAGCATCACTGTGAGTACTCAGAGTATGGGTAACGATGTACGGGTTATCAGTGCTATACCGACGGCTCTGTAGAAGAAGGTGGACGATGTACCGGATGTGCATGTAATATATTTAAACAATCTTCTCTCATACATACAGCAATTAAGCGAGTCAATGACTGGGCAAGTACAACTCAAACCAAACTTGCAGGCATACACCTTGCCACTGAATTTTTAAAAGACAAAGGCAGTGGACTTATATACTGTGACTCGCAGAGTGCACTCCTGGCATTGAACGCACATAGTAGTAACACCCAGAAAATAGTCAGTGATATTCGAATGAATGTTTTAGCTGCTAAAGAAAACAGATTTGAAATTAAATTCCTTTGGATACCATCACATGTTGGCATCTCAAAGCATGACACTGTTGATATGCTTGCAAAGACAGCCTATAGAAAACCAGTAGTAGAAATTGATATGGGTGTTTCATTAGCAGTGACAAAGAGAATACTTAAACAAATATCTAATGAAAATCTTACCGACCTAACAAATTCACAAAGACCTGAAAGTTGTAGCATTAAACATTATGATAAATATCGTGAGGAGACATTCACATATGGGACTAATAGAGCAAGAACTCGGCAATGTGATGTTATAGTGGCCAGAATACGCCTGGGATATAGACGTATCTGGCAGCTCTCTCAGAACCCAAATGTCGAATACACAATGTATCAACTTTGTGAAATAGAAAACATGCACTCTCTTACAATATATTGTAGAATGTCCCAAATTGACCTAACTTTCCCCCTCCTGGGCTGAGGTATGCTGCACTCTGTAACTACTATATGAGGTGGTCCACGTTCCAAGTGGTTATCAATTATATTGCATGTGTTGTGATTCCATCTTTTAAGGTAGAAGTCATTGATAAATTTGTGTATTAATTTAATTTATAGAGTAAACAACTAATTCAGTACCCTACCCCCGCTACAATGGGTATGTGTATGTTTTGTGTAAGATGAAGTGCAAAGAGTGAGAGAAGACATTAATTGGTATCTAGATGAAGTAAAGTGTAAAGTGTGTGGACAAAGACAGGGACACACAACTCACGTTGTATGATATGGCAACCTATCTTATTACTAAGGATAAAATATCTGAAATCCTTGCACTGTATCTATATTTAGCTTCCAGTAGATAAACGACATATGAGATTAAGAAACAAGTAGTGTATTGTGAAGACTAATAATAAACAGCAGCTCCCCTATGACTCTGTAATATCTCCAACAACTCTGTAATATCTCAAACAATTATGTATTAGCGATAAGACCTACCATTAATGTAAAATGACTTAATGTAAATATATAGCTCTTGAAATAGAACATTCTCTGTAACTAGCTAACATTGTAATAATAAGGTGTGAAGTATGGATGAAATTGTTTATGTAATAGTCTAAGTTGAGGTCTGATAAAGACCTTTTGTGCCCTCTGTAATGGTTTTTGCGCTACTGCTCACAGGATGAGTATGGGGTGCACAATAAACTAGCCGGCGGCAACAATCAAATCAATGGTACATAGCAACTAGTGTCAGTATTTCATTTAATTAGGTTATCAGCACTGTAATCAGGCTGATAGCGTGTTGATGTTGGTATTACTGCCTGCCTAGTGGCATCAACAGATAGTATATCTCCCAGGAGAGTTCGTGATAGTGAGTGTTTTTATGATATTAAGAAGCCTCATCCACGCTTCTTCATGATGATTCTTGCACATCTGGTGGGGGGGGGGGGCAGCAACATCCATTCTCTAGTATTCTGTTAGTATATGGTTTCTAGTTTTTCAGCCTCATACTGGGTAAATTAATTATCTGTAAATTGTGGAAGTCAATTAAGGGTCTTACAACATTGTTAGTATAAGCTCGCATACCTGACATTGATACCAAAGTTTATATAAGTTATATTTTCAAAGTTTCAAATTAAACTATTTTACTTTTGTACCCACTTCAAGGTATATATATTATCTCCCTCTCAATGTGTTGATTAGACACTTTGACATCATGAAGGACGCTTTTGATATGTTTAGGATATCAATTCTAGTTTCTTGAGGAAATGATAAGGCTGCGTTAGACCAAGAGCCAGTACCAAGGGCGTCAGGTAGAGCTGGCAAGCCACAAAACCAAAAAGTACCTAATTTCATCTTCATAGTTTCCTACCTAGTGCTTAAAACTCGCACTGTATCTAGTGCTACCTAATCCCCCAATATATGTACCTAAGCCATACAGCTTTACCATTGTGATCATTGCTGTCATCTTATGTGTGCTATCAATATGCTTTATTGTGCCTACTGCTTTATTGTGCTTTGTCAAATTATCAATCAAGCTATCAATGCTATTAATCAAGCTATCAATGTGCTTTAATATACCTACTAATCTTTGTCAAATTTTCTTACAATGTACTTGTTAACATTTTATAAATTTTGCTAGAATTTACCTACTTAATATTATCTGTTAGATTAAGGACCTGCCAGAAACGCTGTGCGGCTTTACAAGAACGTAAACACATCATGCTATGTACTCTCACAAACCCAATGAATTGTAAGTGACTCCTTATCATCCTTAAATGCTCTTAACTCTTTAAGACATAACTGTAACATGCTCGTGTCCGAAGCTAGACACAAATACAACAAAATTATTAAGGATGGTAACAGAGTCCATTTCATGTGGTCTCCATCTCATATTGGCCTCCGAATGCATGATAGAGCTGATAAGTTAGCCAAAGAATCTGCCTTTAAAGGAGCCGTTGAGTGTAACCTTGGATTGTCAATGAGCAATCTGAGAGCAGCAGTACACCGAGAACTTCAACAAGATCTTGTAGATCTGAGGCAAAGTAAAATTGACACCAGTAATTCCATCTATCATCATACTATCATGCAAGAGGAGCCACACATCTATGGATCATCCAATAAAATCAGCAGACTTCTAGATGTTACTACTGCTCGGCTTAGACTCGGTTACAAGTATCTCTGGGAATTCTCATTATCTGCCGATGTAGACCTGACCAAATGTAAACTGTGTCAACAAAATTATTCGCACATCCTCCGTCACTATGTGATGGAGTGCGAAAAGATACGTGAATTTAGAGACAATTCTATAACCAATGTTCCAACGATGTGTAAATATTTCATTCAAAATGATCTGCTACCAGAAATTTTAGCCAAATATCCCCAGTTTGCTAACTGTACGTAGTAACTAAGTGATTGTAACCTATCCACCGCTGCCCACTGGATGGGGGGCGGTGTGCAGGACAAACATATCAATTGTGACACTAGCTCTCCACATATGTCAGTTGCTTAATTTAGAACCTGTACTTGAGGTCGATCTCGAACCCATTGTTGATGTGACGACTTATATTGAATTTTGTAACTAGCTCATCAAGATTGTAACTTGCTTAGCTAAATGAATTGTGGGGTTCAGTCCAATTCAATTTCTTTCTTTATTATGCACCCCATACCCATCCCGTGTGCGGTGGTGTAAAGGATTACAGAGGCACATAATCGATTCAGGAACTGAACCCTCAAGTTCATTTAGCTAAGCAAATAACAATGTTTGACGCTAGTTACAAAATTATTAATGTCCCTGAGCCCATTATGTGCCTCTGTAACCCTTTCCACTACCGCCAACAAGATGGGTATGGGGTGCATAATAAATGAACTAAACTAAAACCTTCTTGTATATAAATAAATAAATAAATAAAAATAAGTTACAGAGAATGTTCCATTTCTATAGCTATGTATTTACAGTTAATTATTATACATTAATGGTAGGTCTTATCGCTAATACATAATTGTTAGAGCTATGGAGATATATTACCGTTGTAAGGAGTGGGGTATGGCCTGGGCGTACGGGTAGGCTGCTGCTGCTGTCGTCAGGCACCAGCAGCTGGTCCTGGCGCCCGTAGTGTGGTGGGGGAAGATGGCGGGTGAACTGTGCTTGAGGCAGGGAACACGGAGAGGATACTCAGATGTGCTTGCAGGGTCGAGCTAGGAACAAATCCTAGCTGTAATGTGTGTAGCGTCGAGCAAGGCTTCTCTAGGGTGGACGAGGGAGGCGGCGGTTACACTTATTATTAACTCCAATACTCGAGAATGCACTGGTGCACTTTTATCTCAACACTACACTACAGCCTCGCCGCATCTGATTGGGAACGCACTGACAACGCTTGTCTGCTGAGCTCAATATAGGCTGCTTGAGCACCTCCCCCTTGACTCCATCTTCCCCCACGCCCCCTTCCCACCAGGGGGTCTGATGTGTGTGGTGGCAGTGGACAACCTCACCCTCACCCATGCACCTTCCGTGCCGCAACACCCATAATGCCAAAGTAACGCGCCTTTTAATGTTGATTCAGTTGGAATGTTGCAAACACAGTCCTTCTTCGTGTAACCCCCGGGGTCTTGAGCAGGCATCCACACCGACCTGGTCAAGTCTTGGCTGGCTCAGGCACTGTCGTCCTCGTTAAAGTAGGGGGAAGTGTTAGACCCGAGGTTACCTCCCTGGGTGGATGACCCAAGCAGGATTATCATCAATGAGATGGCAACGAAAAAGTCCACCATGATAACTCAAGAAATGAGTCACAATTATCTTGAGGAAATCTATAAAAAAGCCGGAAATGAATTAGATCAAATCTACACTGATGGGTCATCTAACCCTGTCAATGGCAGGGCTGGTGCAGCATACACTGTAATTAGGAATAATGCCTTTCAACGCGGAAAATTAGGACAATCGCGTATTGAGAATTCTGCCTCTTCAACGCAAGCGGAGCTAACTGCCATTGTTATGGCGTTAAGATTCCTTGAGCGGAACACTAATGGTGCAGTGATCTGCATTGATTCTAAAGCAGCACTACAAAGCGTGGTGTAGTGGTAAGACACTCGCCTGGCGTTCCGCGAGCGCTATGTCATGGGTTCGTATCCTGGCCGGGGAGGATTTACTGGGCGCAATTCCTTAACTGTAGCCTCTGTTTAACGCAACAGTAAAATGTGTACTTGGATGAAAAAACGATTCTTCGCGGCAGGGGATCGTATTCCAGGGACCATAGGATTAAGGACTTGCCCGAAACGCTACGCGTACTAGTGGCTGTACAAGAATGTAACAACTCTTGTATATATCTCAAAAAATCTTACGATAGTCGCTGAAATCAAGAGAGCTGTGAGAGTACTAACCAATCAGGGAAGAGTCGTCAAATTTCTGTGGATCCCCTCCCATGTTGGAATATGTGGAAATGAACGAGCAGATATGCTGGCTGCTGAAGGAGACCATATTGAATACTTCATACCCAAGACTTTTACAAATTAGAGGTTTGTCAGGCAACATCACCGTGACAAGGTTACTGAGGAAAGGAGGATAGAAGCACAAATCAGTGAATCTGTACGATGGTACAATATGGTTGCAGCTGGCAATCCCAATCATTATGGACGAAGAGGAGGTGGCCGCAGAAGAGAATTAGTAATAGCAAGAATCCGTCTTGGATACAAATATCCATGGAGATTCGGAATGGAAACAACAGTTGAGCAGAGGAGTTGCAGAATCTGTAGTGAGAGTGATGGACATCACCTTGACCACTACCTGAGAGAGTGTGAATATCTAAGAGTCATTAGAAATATGTGTATATTAATAACCCCACATTAAGTTAGGAAAATACTATTTGTCAAATATAGATACTGTTACTAAAATATTCCTCTATTTTACACCAGCAAGATAACGTAAGATTTTAAAGGTTGACAAATGTAATCTTCTTGTTTGAGAAGCTGTACACTTGAGACAGTTAAGCAAGTCCCAGCTGTGTCTGGGTACAAGTGACAGGATGAACAACCCAGCGGGTTTTCTTCCTATTGGGGAGTGTTGTCCATGCTGCTACGGCGGTGTGTCCACTCACAGCATGAGTGATGCTGCACAATAAACTCGCCCCTCGGGGCAAAATTAAAAATTAATTAAAAGTAAACCGAGTAAAAAGTAAACAAATACGACACACAACCAGTAACAAATACGACACACAACCAGTAACAAATACGACACACAACCAGTAACAAATACGACACACAACCAGTAACAAATACGACACACAACCAATAACAAATACGACACACAACCAGTAACAAATACGACACACAACCAGTAACAAATACGACACACAACCAGTAACAAATACGACACACAACCAGTAACAAATACGACACACAACCAGTAACAAATACGACACACAACCAGTAACAAATACGACACACAACCAGTAACAAATACGACACACAACCAGTAACAAATACGACACACAACCAGTAACAAATACGACACACAACCAGTAACAAATACGACACACAACCAGTAACAAATACGACACACAACCAGTAACAAATACGACACACAACCAGTAACAAATACGACACACAACCAGTAACAAATACGACACACAACCTGTAACAAATACGACACACAACCAGTAACAAATACGACACACAACCAGTAACAAATACGACACACAACCAGTAACAAATACGACACACAACCAGTAACAAATACGACACACAACCAGTAACAAATACGACACACAACTCAAAAATCAAGATATTTATGATGGCCGAGCGCCACAAGGCTGAGAAGTCGGCCATAATGGTAAGCTCACGCTAGGCGCCCTCACGGTCTCTACGAAAACATTTTTAATGATTTTATTGGTAATGTCGATAACCATAATGAATACCGTTCAGAATATTGTTGCGTGTTGCAAGAGTTGCAGGTGTGGGGGTGAGTGAACACCTGTGTATTAGGGCCACTCACAGCACCTGCTCCACAAGTGTCAACACTCACTGCTTATCACTGATAAAGCTTTACAAATGTCTGAAAATAGCGAAGGCAAATAAGCACTCACCAGAATAACAACACATTTATAAGGCAACATTTCAATTACACAACAATAAGAGCAAAATTTTTAGTTAATCACAAGAGCCAGATGATTTAGAAGATCATCTGGAGAGGATGAAGAAAATAAGGAATATTCAGAGAAGACCTTGTGGATTCTCACTGAACACTTTAATATTTTCTTCTCCTACCACCTCCATTCTTTTGTATGTACACATATATATATTTGTTTTATTTAAGCTTTGTTACAGAAAAGGAGTTACATATAGGGTACAAAGATGATTACCATAAGGTGTTGAGTTCCTCCAGCTCCCCAGATGGCGGGCAGGAACCCTGGATGCAGTGTGCATTTCCCCTCTGTATCGCCACGCTGAGGCGCTGGAAAAGGAAGCTGGCAGCTCTAGGGAATCTTGTTCTTTCAGTTAGCCTAGAACCCAGTTCTATGGCTTGCGTGTTCCTGCAGCTTTCTCTCGCACACTCACACTACTAATAAGGATAGTCCAGGTCACAATATTAGTGATGGTGAAGGTATGGTTTTGGCAGTGGTAGTGATGGTGGGTGTGGTGATGGTTGTGGTAGTATATAGTGGTGGTTGTAGCTCTGTATAGTGATGGTGGTTGTTCTGGTGATGGTTTTGGCAGTAAATAGGGATGGTGATGGTTGTAGCAGTATATAGTGATGGTGGTGGCTGTGTGGTAATACAAATTATCGCCAACAGAACCTAAACACACAACCTACGCCTAACTGTACACAGAACTTTAAAATATAACAATATTAACTTGTATATGAGAATAAACAATTTTTAGTATACAGTACAGTATTTTTAAAATGGATGAATGCGACATGGAGGACTACTGGTGCATTAACATGCCTGGCCTGAGGACAGGTGCTCCATCACCTGTCACACTAACCAAAATCAAACCACAACCCAACAACAGTCGATCTCTTGTCTCATACAATCCCACTCTAACAACAGACTGTCCTCACAGGTGTAAGGAATCATTTAGAATTTTGTATACCACATATGTAAGATCAATCCTGGAGTATGCGGCCCCAGCATGGAGCCCGTACCTTGTCAAGCACAATACGAATCTGGAAAAAGTTCAGAGGTATGCCACTAGGTTAGTCCCAGAACTAAGAGGCATGAATTACAAGGAAAGGCTGCGTGAAATGCACCTCACGACACTGGAAGACAGAAGAGTAAGGGGGAGACATGATCACTACCTACAAAATTCTCAGAGGAATTGACAGGGTTCAAAAGGATAACTGTTTAACACGGGTGGTACGCAAACAAGGGGACACAGGTGGAAACCGAGTGCCCACATGAGCCACAGGGACGTTAGAAGGAACTTTTTCAGTGTCAGAGTAGTTAACAGATGGAATGCAATAGGAAGTGATGTGGTGGAGGCTGACTCCATACACAGTTTCAAATGTAGATATGATAGAGCCCAGTAGGCTCAAGAATCTGTACACCAGTTGATTGACAGTTGAGAGGCGGGACCAAAGAACCAGAGCACAACCCCCGCAAGCACAACTAGGTGAGTACAGACACATGTACACCCCAACCCATAAATTACGCCACCTCCCTTGACCACACCGCTCATGTTACAAATACCTATATACATTCCCTCCCATGAAGTCCTCATGTCCAGGGTCATATTACATACAAACAGCGGCACTCTATGTAGATGGTAATACAAATTCCTTGCAAAGTATATATCAGGAATTGTAAAATTCAAATACCTACCAGCCATTACATCTCCGGTTCGGTCTTTAGCAACGTCTTTATTTCTAGAAACATTTTAAAATTGAAGCTAATCAAATATAATGATATGTTAGATATTAGTCCTGGAGAGTATAAAATAGATCCACTTACGGCTGCAAACATTCCTTCAAAGATGGTGTAAATTAAAGGTTTTCATAGTCACCCGCCAACCTTGTTGGAGAAGGATTGGATCTAAATAATGTTTAGTTTCCCAACTACTTGGGCTGGACGGTAGAGCGACGGTCTTGCTTCATGCAGGTCGGCGTTCAATCCCCGACCGTCCAAGTGGTTGGGAGATAGAAGGTAGTGTGGTGGTGGTGGTGGTGAAGGTCGTGTGGTGGTGGTGGTGGTGAAGGTAGTGTGGTGGTGGTGGTGGTGAAGGTAGTGTGGTGGTGGTGGTGGTGGTGGTGGTGTGGTGGTGGTGGTGGTGGTGAAGGTAGTGTGGTGGTGGTGGTGGTGAAGGTAGTGTGGTGGTGGTGGTGAAGGTAGTGTGGTGGTGGTGTGGTGGTGGTGGTGAAGGTAGTGTGGTGGTGGTGGTGAAGGTAGTGTGGTGGTGGTGGTGGTGAAGGTAGTGTGGTGGTGGTGGTGGTGGTGGTGGTGGTGGTGGTGAAGGTAGTGTGGTGGTGGTGGTGGTGAAGGTAGTGTGGTGGTGGTGGTGAAGGTAGTGTGGTGGTGGTGGTGGTGAAGGTAGTGTGGTGGTGGTGGTGGTGAAGGTAGTGTGGTGGTGGTGGTGGTGAAGGTAGTGTGGTGGTGGTGGTGGTGAAGGTAGTGTGGTGGTGGTGGTGAAGGTAGTGTGGTGGTGGTGATGGTGAAGGTAGTGTGGTGGTGGTGGTGAAGGTAGTGTGGTGGTGGTGGTTGTGAAGGTAGTGAAGGTAGTGGTGGTGGTGGTGAAGGTAGTGTGTGGTGGTGGTGGTGGTGAAGGTAGTGTGGTGGTGGTGGTGGTGAAGGTAGTGTGGTGGTGGTGGTGAAGGTAGTGTGGTGGTGGTGGTGGTGAAGGTAGTGTGGTGGT